GGGTATCTGACATGCAAACATATCAAACAAAAGAAACAGAGGAAAGGTAAATAAGAGCAGTTAACAAGAAAAAGCTCAGCAAGTAAGTCAATACTTTTATGATTCTAGGACTAGACATGCCCACCTTAAGAAATAACCCTCCCACTGGTTAGCCACAACAAGAGAGCACTAATGAGCAAAAGGATGGTGGGGAAGAGAGAGCAAAGAGGTGAGGAGTTTAAGTCCAGAGGAGGACATAAATATTTATTGTTCTCTCATTAATGAATCCATAGGATGGGGTGAAGGTGAGAGATGTTAAACAAGCATTCTCTTCCTTAGTTTTGGCTTGAAAGGGAAAAATAAGCTATGTGCATTCTTCGGTCTCTCTTGAAGTATAAGTATAAGGGATGTGAAGATTTTGTAGAACAGAGAAAGAGCAAGGGATGGTGGGTAGGACATAGAGGAGGTGAGAGGGAATTGGGTCTCATCCATGGAGAATGCTCAGAGACATCCCTGCACATTCTCTGGAAGAGAAAGTGAGAGAGAGAGAGTATGTGTGTGCCTGTATGTTTATGCGTCTCTGATTGGGGCTTTGCAGCTGGTTTCGTTGGGAGACCATGGGCACTTCAGGACACCTTCTCTGAGTCGAGGAACCACCTCTCACTACAGGGGAAGGAGCTTCCTATGCAGTGGACAGGTGGACAGAAGAACATGGATTCAGAGGGAGATAAATGTATGGGCCTTGGGGTGGGCAGGTGGTAAACAAAAGGGCACAGAGAAGGAAAGCATCTTCTTCCAGGCCACACTGCCTCCTCAGTGAGTGATTGTGTCTGGAATTGAAGATCCTCAGCAGACAACCCTTAAAAAGAGAGAAATGAGGAAAAGTGTGGGTAATATCCAAAACTGAATGAGAAGATAGAGAAGACAGCAAGGCTTTCATCTTGTAGAAGCCAGAGCTGGTATGAAGACAAAGAAAGAACCTGTAAGAACAAAGCACCTGAATGAGAAATTATATTCTTAAATAGACTGGAAGGGAAAAGAAATAAAGGGGATGAATGAACACTTCTCAGAAAAGGAATATTACTAAAACTCTGAGAGTGGGAATAAGCAAGGAGGACTGTTTTGGTTTGTTTTGTTTGTTTTTAATCTTATCTGGACTGGGGAGGGGAAAGGTTAAAAAAAAAAAGCCAAAGTCTGAAATTAAACTCAAGGACTTTGGGCCCGGGCAGGTTAATAAGGTTGTGGGGAGGGGAAAGAGGAAGCAGGATAGAAAAACTGTGGCAAGTCAGTGACTTAACGGGGGTGGGAGTGGGGATTAATATAAAAGAATGAAGACAGAAAACACAAATTTAACAGCTTTTACCATCCTATACATGAATGCATTAAATTCCCCACTAAGATGAAAGGGAATGGCAGGATGAATAAGAAAACAAAGTCTAACAATTTATTGTATCAAAAACACATTTAAAGCAAAGGATACAAAGAAATTAAAAATGAGAAGCCAGAATAAAAGTTATGCTTCAGGCAATTCCCAAAAGCATTAGTTGCAATCAAGATTTTAGAAAAGGAAACAATAAAAGTTGACAAAGTCAAGAGAGACAAACTAGGAAACTTCATTATGCTTACAGGCATTACAGTCAATGAAACAATATCATTCTTTTAAATATGCATCAAATGATATGGATCTAAGATAATAAAGAAAAAACTTAGGAAACTACAACACTGATAATTATAGGAAACTTTAACAGTCCTCTTTCCCAAATACATTTAACTGAAAGATGAAAAAGGAAAACAGCTAAATAGAATGTTGGAAAAACTGTATATCTGAAATTAAATTTCTATGGCAAGTTCTGACTGAGAATATTAGAGAATTCTGACTGTGAATATACAATATGCATAGTCTCAACATCATACAGTACCTTTAAAAATTCATCATGTCCTAGGGCACAAAGAAATAAATTTAAAAAGGCAAATGCCCTTTACAAATCACAAAGCAATAAAAAATAACTGATAATTAAAATACAGACTTATAAGGAAACTAAGTAATGATATCCAGGATAATAAATGTCAAAGGACAAACGACAGAAATAATAGATAAAGAAAATGAGTCAACATATCAAAACTGATAGGATGCAGCTAAAATAGTCCTCAGAGGAAAAATTCCATCTTTGAAAATATATTTGAAAACAAACTAAAAAAAGCAGGTCATGAACTTAGCAGACAGTTTTTAAAAAATACAAAATCACTCCCAAAACAAACACAAAAGAATAAACATTTAAACTATAGAATAGATAAACTGATTAATTAATGGGCAAAACAAAGGGTTTTTTTAAAAGAATAATAAAATCAACAAGCCATTAGCTAACTTGGTTTTTTTTAAAGTAGAAAGGAAAATCACATTATGAAGATCAAAAAGTCACAATAGAGAAAATAATGAGAATTATCAAGACTGTTATACCAAATGTAGGCAAAAATAAATCTTTAAAGGAAATAGATAATTATAAATAATACAATTTGACAAAACAACACTAAATCAAAGAAAAAAATCCTGGTCCATATGGATTTACAAGTGAATTCTATTATATACATATATAATATTATGTATATATGTATATTATATAATATTGTATTTGGGACCACCTCCCACTACAGGGGAGGGAGTTTCCTATCCAGAGGACAGGCAGACAGGAGGACATATTCTATCTACCTCTGTATTCCCTTTGTATCCCCAATAGAATAATTAATACCGATGCTACAAAAATTCTTCTCAATAACAAAGAAGGTTTTCTAAAGTCCTGATCTGTTGTTGTTCAATTGCGTCCGACTCTCTCTGACATATTTGGGGTTTTCTTGGCAAAGATACTGGAGTGGTTTGCTATTTCCTTACAGGGTAAAATGACCTGCCCAGGGTCACACAGCTAGTAAGCTGCTGAAGCTAGATTTGAATTTGTCTTCCTGATTTCAGGCCCAACTCTCTATCCAGTGAGCCACTTAGCTCCCTCCACCCATGTAGGGACATTATCTGATGATATACAATTAGGCATAGATTTTATGGGAAGAGATAAGGAAAGAAAGAAAATAAGATGTTTTGGGTAGATGATGAGAAGTTGAGACCTACTGGAAAAGACTGAATACAAGAGATGGATAGTGTCATGGAAACAACAAACATGATCTTGGACAGACTATAGTAGAGAGTTATGCTCCACGGGGTCATGGAGACCCAGCAACAACACAACAACATGCTTTTTTTCATGTCTCCTCCCACTGGATAGTGAGCCCCTTACGAGCAGAAACTATCTTTTGCCTTTCTTTGTATCCTCAGTGACCTACACACAGTAGGTCCTTAATAATGCTTTCCTGACTGATTTACCCTTCCTCTTTTGAAAAGGAGGGTCTGTGGATGTACATGTAATTGTCCAATTTATGTTAATTGGTTTTGCTTAACTTTTTTCTCTTTCAACTTTTTAAAAATTATTTTTATAAGGGATACTTCATAGAGTGAAGAGAGGGGAGGAGGGGATACAAGGGGAAATGTGAGCAAGAAAAGATATCAAGAAGATATATTTTAAAAAGAAAACACCAAGGGGCAGCTAGGTGGCACAGTGGATAGAGCCCCGGCCTTGAAGTCAGGAGGACCTGAGTTCAAATCTGGCCTCAGACGCATGACACTTACTAGCTGTGTGACCCTGGGCAAGTCACTTAACCCCATTGCCTAACCAAAAAAAACCAAAACAAAACACCAGAGAATCAGCAAAGAAACTAATCAAGGTGACTAATAATTGCAATAAAACAGCAAGACAAAATAAATCCTCAAAATTATTAGCTTTCCTATACAATATTGACCCAAAAAATAGAAAAAAATTACATTTAAAATAACTAGAAAATGCATAAAGTAGATATCTGAGAATCAACCTACAAACTTAAACTAACATGTTCATGGCTTATATAAGTACAACTACAAAACAGTTTTCATAGAAATAAATGATTTAAGTGGAAAGATTCAATATTAATGGTTGGTCTATGCCAATATAATAAAAATGACAATGCCTAAATTAATTTAAGATTTGCTGCTATACCAATCAAATTACTCAGAAGTTTCTTTAAAGAACTAGACAGAATAATAAAATTCATTTAGAAGAACAAAAAGTAAATAATTTCAAAGGAAATAATGGGGAAAAAATAGAAATAAAGGGAGACTAGTTAGTATTACCGCACCTCAAACCATAATATAAAGCAATAGCTATTAAGATAATTTGGTATTATTTATATTATTTGTCAAAATTGATCATGGGATCATAGAACTAGAAAGGGCATTAGAGGCCATCTAGTCCAACTGCCTAATTTTGGGTAAAAACAGAGGTTAAGTGACTCGATCAAGGTCACTGAAGTAAGCATCAGAGGCAGGATTTGAACTCATACCCGGGTTCATGGACTAGATTAGATGTCTACTAAACTACTGAAGGCCACATCTGATGCTTGATCGTTCCATGGAGGCAAGCCTGGGTCCCCGCGAGTCCTTCCACGTCTCCAGTCTCCGAATCCCCATCCCCGACTAATCCAGATCCCGGACTTTGAAAGCTGCCTTGGCAGTGGGAAAGCTGAGGCACAAGAAGGGAGAAGGCCGGATCACGTGGCGGGTGGGCTCCAGACAGCGGGGGGGGGGGGTAGCCTGGGGACCTGTTTGCCGTCGGAAAATCCCGTAAAATGAGCCAGAAAACAAAGACACCTCGGAATTTCTGTGGTAACCGATTACATAACCGGGCCCAACGTGGGGACAGCCAGGTTCCTAATTCATTCCCCGGGGTGAGGCGGGGCTCAGAAGCCAGAGACCAATCGTCGCCGTCCTCCCGAGCGCCTGGAGCCGCCTCCGACGTGCTCTGCGTGTCTGGCCTTTGCCGCAAACCGCCGGCTGTGCGGGGGGGGGGGAGCCGCCGGAACTCCGCCCCCTCGCGGCTCTCCTCCCCTTCCGCTCCCTCCCGCCACACGCTGACGCTCTGGTGACGCTTGATATAACCGTGATCCGCAGACGCCGCTCCCACTCCTCACTTCCGCTTCCTCGCAGCGCGGACCTCTGTGCCTCCCGGACTTTGCGACCGCGGCGGCAGCTGGTGAAGATGTTAGGCCCTTTTAAGAAGAACGCCGTCATCGGCCTCAACCTGTACTGTGGCGGGGCCGGCGCTCCCCCGTCCGGCGCGCCCCTGCTGGCTCCTGGCAAAGGAACGACCGTGGAGAGTTCGGCGCCGCGGTGCGACGGCGGGCAAGTGGAAGCGGGGACGACGACGACGTCAGCGGCGGCGGTGGCGGGAGCGGGGTTAATTGGCGGAAGCGGCGGCGCGAGTCTCCCGGACCTGGTGCCGGGCGCCCGGGGGGTCCCGCGGACTGCGCTCATTGGCGCGGAGGTTCCCGACGTCACCGCCACCACGCCGGGACCGTTGTTATTCTCGCGGAGCTGCCGCCTCTCCTTGCCCGCCGCCGGGGCCGCGGACGCCGTCATGTCCCCCGAGGACGAGCTGGACGGCTACGAGCCCGAGCCCCCTGGGAAGCGGCCCGCCCGCCGGTCGCTGCTGGCCCTGACCCTGGCTCGAGAGGGCGGGGACACCTCGAGCGGCTCCCACGGCTCGCTGCCCTCGACTCCGCCCTCGGCCGAGGAGGAGGAAGACGAGCTGTACGAGCAGTCCTTGGAGCTGATCACCCGGTACCTGCGCGAGCAGGCGGCCGGCTCCAAGGACGCCAAGCCCCTGCGCAGCGGGAAGGCCCTGGAGACCCTGCGGCGCGTGGCGGACGGCGTCCAGCGCAACCACGAGACGGCTTTCCAAGGTGGGTGGCCTCGCTCGCTCCCGCCCCCGCCGGGTTCGGGGCCCACCTTTGTGCATGCGCGGCCGCTTTGTGCTAGCAGACATGGCGACTCTGCTCCTGAGAGCCCCGAACGGTTGGGAAGCCCATCGTGGGGGGAAGGATGGAGGGGGAGGCCTCGAATTGGGTCCAGACGAATTCTGGCCGAAGAAGATACCTGGGAAGTGGGGGGGGGGCTGTCGATCAATCAATAAGCATTTATTAAGCGCCTATTATCTGCCAGGCACTGTGCCAAGCCCTGGGGAGACAAAAAGAGGCCAAAGACAGCCCTTGCCCTCGAGGACCTTAGAAAAAGATAAAAGTCCATCAATCAGTAAACATTTAGGAAGCACCTACTATGTGCCGGGCACTGCGCTAAGTGGAGGGGATACAAAAAAAGACAGTGCTCTTAGAGGCAGAAGTGATGCAAGTCGGTGACCCTCCCTTTTTCTTTTAGGCATGCTTCGGAAACTGGACATCAAGAACGAAGAGGATATTAAAGCTGTGTCTCGAGTGGTAACTTGTGTGTTCAGTGATGGAGTAACAAACTGGGGCCGGATTGTGACTCTCATTTCTTTCGGTGCCTTTGTGGCAAAGCACTTGAAGAGCATAAACCAGGAAAGTTGCATAGACCCACTAGCAGAAAACCTAGCAGATGTACTGGTCAAGACAAAAAGGGACTGGCTCATTAAGCAAAAGGGCTGGGTAAGTCTGAAGCCAAGGGTCACTGCAGAATGGAGGAAAGGGAAGGGGGGGTGGGGAAGGTAATTGCCCCCTTGTAGTCTCAGGCACTCCCCTAGGTGTAGAATGTTGATTTCTTAGATAGGAGTCTAACTGATGAGGCTCTTTCACTGTCACGTGCATCCTCTTGGCGAATCATGTTCTGAGCCAGTGAGAGTCCTCTTCAAAATTTGTTTTTTGTTTTATCTTTCTCTTTTCTAGGAGGGGTTTGTGGAATTCTTTCATGTAGAGGACCTAGAAGGTGGCATCAGAAATGTGCTGCTCGCCTTTGCCGGTGTTGCTGGAGTAGGAGCTGGTTTGGCATATCTAATAAGATAGCCTTGTAAGTGCAATAAATGACTTGTAACCAACTCCAGGCACCAAAACTGCACACTTCTGCTGTGAAATTAGAAGTATTTATGAAGCTGGACATCAAGCCACCCAGGCTAGAACATCCAAGAATCCTTCTAGAGCACTGAGTACTAGCAGGAAAAGGAAGTGGTATTCTACCTCTTGGGTAGAGGCAGAAGGGGACTTGGATAAGAATAAATACTAGTGGAAAATGTGCCCTGCTTCCTAGAAGAACAGCCATCTGAAAGAAGCAAACTTGTCTGTCTCAGCAACAGGCAGATCTTGGGGGAAGACCAGGAAGAGATTTAGTGATAGGGTTGAGAGAACTTTCTTCCTTCACAAATAACAGTGGTCCGTAGACTTCCTAGTCATAGAACTGTTTGAGAAATCTCTCTTGAATTCGCTAGTTTCACAGGATGAAAAAAGCACTAACAATGCCATGGGCCTAAGTTCTGCTTTATATAACTATGACCGGAATCTTCTTTAAAGTATCACAGTGAAAGTGGTGTGGCTCAAGGTGGGAGGCAAATTCCAAGTGTACCCAGGTATACCTACCTGCTCGCTCAATCTCTTTTTTTTCTTTCTTTCTTTTTTTGGCATGGTGTTGAGTGAGTTTATTACTCTGGTGATACTTATGGATGAGTTACAGTACAGAAATTAACTGTTGTATAGACAAACTTTTTAGAGCCTTCCCCCAAAAAAAAGAACAAAAAAAATTGTAAATGTGTTTATATCTGTAAAAATTTGTATATATTTTTACAGAAATTTATTTCCTTGAAATGTTGTAAGGAAAGATTCTGTGTTTAGGGTTCTTTCTCCTACCTTCTAAAATTTGTAATTTGTTTAGCCAGGTGATTTAGAACCCTTGTCTTCTGTGTAACATTTCTGATCTTAACCAGTCCCATATTTTTGGTATTCAGAGCCAACTTGTGATGTATTCAAAGGCTACACAGTTATGAATCAGTTTTTAAAACTACCTTTGTGTTATTTTCCTTGTGGATAGGGCTTATTCTTTGAAGGGATCTGGGATTGGGGGAGGAAAAGTGTAGTACATGAAAAGATTGAGTCGTGCAGCTTCTTAACAATTGAGCCAAAGTAATTTTTAGAACTTGCATTGAGTTATTTTTGTTTGTTTTTTTTACAAATAATGGCTTTTGTGTTCATGCCATCATGCACATACATTCAGTTTGAGTTCTCCGTTTTTGAGTCACTGCCATCTGACTCTTCATGTTATTAATACAGTTTAGTTTGTGGGCTTAGTTTTATTTTCCAGAACTTTCTCACACTTTTCACCTAAATTTCTGTAGCAGACTTTGTGTAGGAAGTCATCCACCTGAAGCAAACATAACCTTGTTTGCTCTAAAAAACTGCAAGTAAATGTAAAGAAAGATAAATGCTAACCATGGTGCTATTATTAGGCTTGCTTGTCAAATACAGGGTAAGGCCTAGTCTGTCAATAAAACAAGTGTTTCTATATTGTTCAGAATTTGCTATTGCAATGATTCCCAAACTCTTGGCCAAAGACACTCAGCTTTGGCCTCTGTCTGGATAGCAGACTTGCTTTCCATTTTTCTCCCAAATTACTCTTTCTTTTCAAACATTTGTTTCCTCTAGCTCCAGCCCTTCTATAAGTAACTGTGGGACCAATCGCTGTTACTCTTCCTTCTCCTTTCAGAATGTGGCTCTGTAGACTCAGGTGACCTCAGATGGTCCCTGCACCCCCTTCTCAGAGTTGTGAACCTTCTTGTCTCCCAGTGTTCTATTGGATAGAGACTTTGGGCTTGGTGCCTGTGTCTGCAGGGATGGGAAAGTCTTGCGCTGGTGCCCTTTTGCTAAACCTGTGTTTTGATTGATTTTTTCTTTGAAAGTCCCTTTGCTGTTTGGGCTTTTCAGAGAAAGGGGAAAAGATCTTGCTGTGTGGTGTCTTCTACAAATGGCCTTTTGGGTGGGGGAGGGTGTGTCTCCAAAGTCCTTTAGAAGGTGAATGGCTGAATCACTTTGTCACCTTTCTGGATTGTTTTTCACTGGGGGCACTTAAACCTTTTAAAGTGGTGAGTTGGGTTTGTATAAAAGTGTTAAACCTCACAGAGCTACCTAACAGTTATTGACCTGTTTGAAAATAACTTGGCTGTGGAGCTGGTTTAATCTGAAAAACTGCCACATTGTTGCCATTGAATTAGACCTTTAGTCTGTGGACTTTGTGTAGCTAAAATAAGCATACATCAAGTTTGAGTAAGAATGTAGTAGGGAAGAATGACCTGCCTGCTCATCTCTAAGCCATGAGGCCTAATGCTGGAGCTGTTTTTGCCCTAGTTGTGTTTCTCATTCTTAATCATAATTCCGCTTATTTATATCATACATATCGGAGGAACTAAAAGCACTTTATATAGTTTTTATAGCTTCAAAATCCACATGAAAGGGGCAAGAGAAATTCTACCCCATTTTACAGCTGGGGAAATTAAGGCACAAAAAGGGTGTCACCCAATAAACCAACAGTGGAGCTCCTCATAAAGATCTTGACTTCCAGATCATTATGAAGGGATTCTATTGGTAGAGTCTGAGACCTCAGATCGGAGAATTTGGTTTGTGGGATGAGAAGAGTTAGGGTTTGGGGGAGGGGGAAGAGGGGAATGCGCTCCTGAGGAAGTGTAGGGAGAAGAAAAGAACCTCAGTGCGTTAAAGGACTGGCCACTCTTACATAATTGATTCCAGTCCTGAGACGAAAAGGGAAGGGGTGGTGGCGCAAGGGATGCTCCGAGGAACCGCATGTATCATTTTCTTCTGCTTCACTCAGGGAAATCGGTTGAAATCCCTGGTCTAGGCTTCCCTACAAATCCTGTGTCTGGGGAGTGTACGCCCTGCCTGATGCTCCTCTTGAAGAGGTGAGCCAGGGAGGGTGAGGACCAATGGCAAAATACACAGGTTATAAAATCTCGTTTGTTTTCTTAACTTCCTGTTTTTTTCTGAGAAAAGGATAATAAATCTTTTATTTAAATTAAAGGTGTGTGGGTCATCTCTGAGGTTCGACTTTGTATCCTGCCCTCTTTACCTCCCTTCCCCTCAGAGAGGTCAGATGGCTGAGCAGATGGAAAGATCGTCATAAATCTCTTGTTGCCTCACACGCGGGGACACACACACCTGCTCATAATTTTTGTTCTCAGTTAATTACATTGTTAACCCAAGCCCTTACAATGTGGGAGTCTTTCAGGATACTTTTATATGTAGAAATACCATTTGTTTCAAAGTACTGGATTTGGAGTCAGTCCCTAATTTCAAAGGCACGGTATGCTGCTTGTTAACCTTTGTGACCTTGAGCAAAGTCCTTGGGCCTCGTTTTCCCCATCTGTAAAAAGAGAGACCTATGGTTCTTTCCCACTCTTAAAGCTATGATCATGATTGGTGTAAAATAGAGAATGACTAGCTCCGATATTTGCAATACTCACACTTTTCACCTAAATTTCTGTAGCAGACTTTGCATAGGAAGTCATCCACCTGAAGCAAACGACCTTGTTTGCTCTAAAAAACTGCAAGTAAATGTAAAGAAAGATGAATCTAACCGTGGTGCTCTTAAGCAGAGGAGAATTGATTGCCCAATATCTGAGGCAGGGATTTTCACTGAGGTCTTTTTGAGCTTGAGGCCAGGGCTCTCCCTGTTACTGAGCTACCTAGCTGCTCTTGAAAGAGTAATAATGTTTCTCCTCTTTAACAGTTGTATGGCATTTGAGGTCCAGAAGGCAGAAGAATTACCTGAAGTTCTAACTAGTGGCTAGGTTGTGATGGGATTGTAATGCTTTCTCCCCATTCTGCAAAGGTGGAGTACAACTGCTTGAGGTCCCTTCATTTTGCTTTTAATTTTCTGCTACCTCAGTGCAGTGGCTGAATCACCATGGAAATGTGCAAATGTAGGTTTTGCATATTGGTTTTAAGCCCTAGGCATCAAAAAGTAATCATGCAAAAAAGGGCTAGTCTAACTTCCCCCACCCAGGCAATTTTGTGTCAGATGAATGTTTTTCCCCTCTGATCCCTGGCAGACGATCACAAAATACAATCTTTACTGTTATCTCCTTGCAAAGAGCTGTTTTTGTTAAGCTCCAAAGGAAGGAAGGGGAGGAGGTGGAGAGGACAACACCTATGCCTTGGTCTAATTTGGGACCTGAGCTATGTAGCCTGATGCTGCAGCTGTTGCTCTGACAACAGGTCTTAACAGTCAACACCTAACAAATTCACAGAATTGAGCAAAAACCCGATAAACCCAGTTACCCAAATCCTAGGAGCTTTTGTGGAGGAGATAACAATCACCACTACTCAAAAGCTTGCCTTCATCAGCCATTACCAGGCTTCCATCCCCTCACATCCCCTTCTAGTTCCATATGGCGTTTCCCCTTCAAAAATTTGACCATCAGGGAGGCCCCTCTCTACTCCCATCATCGACTTTCTTTGGAGTGTGAAAAGTGGAGATTACACAAATAAAAATTTCAAAAACTTTGTTAGAAGCAATGGCTCTCTGGGAGGAGAGAGGCAAGGGTTCGGGGGAAATCAAGCAATGTAAGTACAAAGAAAAGATTTAATTTTTTAAACTGCCAAGCCATATGTGTGTGTCTGTGTATGTATATTCATAAATTTTCCCCTGAATCCCCCTGCCTCTTCTCCCAAACAGCCATTGTTTTATTACAAAGTTTTTAACAGTATTAAGGTTTTTTTTTACTCATGTAATCTCTGTATTGCACACTTATACGCACACACATAAACATTTCAGACTGGCCTGGAGCCATCTGAAGTCGTCTCCTAGAGCTCAGACTGGTATTTTCATCTGCCTTCTGGACATCACCTAGGTGTCCCACTAGCATAGCAAACGTCCTAAAATGATTCCTCTTTTCCCAAAAACCTGCTGTATCAAAGAAACTGGTATTCTCGACCTTTAAAACCCATTGGGAGGCCAAGCCTTCGATGGAAGTGTCTGGCTTTCCCCACCACCGTACCGGCCCTTCCCAGAGCAGAATCTGCCTTTGTCAGCAGCTCCATACATAACAGACATCAGAGGATGTAGGTTGACGTGGATCACTCCCTTCTTGGAGCCCAAGATTATCAACTATGAGTCTCGGTGCTTATCTAGGTTGATTTTTGGTGGTGTGGTGGTGTGTTTTTCTGTATTGCTCAAGCAATTATAGCTTGCGGATACACTCAGGACTTTGTCCTCAGAACACTCACTCTACAAAAGTCTCAGTTTCTTTGTTTGAAAAACCTTCAGCTTCAGCTTTCCTTAGCAACTCCATATTGTTACAGTATTGCTTTGGACGGATCAGGATGTGGAGGGGGGGGTTGGGAGTCGAAGGTTAAGGCAGTGTTTGCACCGCTGAGCTTCGCCTGACTACTGCCCTAGAAAAAAGTTGTATTGACGAGCTTGTGATCAGCAGCAAATGGGTGGAGCTGCTGTGGAGGAGTCTTGGGCAGAAACTTTGAGTGTTTGAACTCCTAATTCAGCATAGCAACAAAACAGGAACACCCAGAGCTTGGGAGGGAGCCTGGGTCAAAAAGAACACGAGAGGTCCCACCACTTCCTTCTCGTCAAAGTGGGAAAGGCCTGGGCTGAGTGGGTATGATTGGAACAGAAATCAAGTCAGATGCTTCAAATTGGGTCAAAAGAGACAGAAGTTCTTGGGGATTTAAGGATCCTGAAACAACCTAGAAAAGGCAACAAAGTGCCTCAAATGAAGAAAACAAGGGTGAAAGTTCCCATTTAAAGAACGTGCATGAATAAGCAGTCCAGTGTTCAAAAGATATAGTGTGCCTGCAGGCTTACTAACTCCCATGGCCACTGATGTGAATGAGCTTTCCTGGTGGCTAAACTTAGACCTCCTTAGTGGGTGGGGTCCAAAAGGCTTACCTATGAAACTCCACTGAGTGCAAGTCAGTGTTCTCTGACCCCTTCTTTGATAGGCAGGTAGAAGAGAAACACCCAGCCTGCATGTGTGGGTAGACACTGAAATGTTAAGGCTTAGTTGGTGTTTCCCAGCAGTCTGCACTTTACCCATAGCTTTGGTTTTTCTCTTTTCGTGCATTGCTGCCAACAGCTCTTGGGCACCTCACCCTCTTTTTTCCCCAGAGTCACCTTCCTGAGTCAGAACCCTACTGCTCAGGGATGGCCTTCAATTTCACAAACAATTATTGGGGGGGGGAGGCGGTCTCAGACGTAAACTGTGGCCCACCTACAGCCAAGAGGAATTGTGTGTGTGTGTGTGTGTGTGTGTGTGTGTGTGTGTGTGTGTGTGTGTGTGTGTGTGTGTGTGTGTGTGTATCCTCTCATCTCTGTATCCTGGGGGTAAAGTGGACATTGCATTCTTTGGGGGAAAAAAATCCAGCCTTTTTAAATCACCTAGGGATACCTGGGAATAATATAGTTCCCACTTAAGGGATAGAGAAGAAAGAATTGTCTATTTAGAGGTAGTGTGACATGGTATAAAAATGTTAGACCTGGATTCAAATCTCATCACTCTGGCGCCTACAAATTAAGTGAGATGTAAGCAAGTCACTAAATCTCTGCAGGGGAGGATGGGAGGGAATAAACCTACTCTGCGCTAGGCACTGTGCCACAGACTTTACAGATTTTGATCTGATTGAAACAACTCTCTGAGCTTCAGGTGCATCATCTGGAAAATGAAAGTAATGCTGAATTACTGCTCTGCTTACCCACCGAATACTGAAAGACCCAGAGGAAGGTCCACAATCCACTGGGGGGATCTTCAGTGACACATTTATGGGAAGACCGGGTACCAGTGTCCTCGATAGCTACACTTTGAAGAGAACACATAGGGATGGGATCATAGGTCCACTGAAGGGGTAAATAATTCCTGTGGGATCCACCTCACAGGGTTGTTGTGAGGATAAAATGTGGTAATATATTTAGAGGGCTTTGTAAATGTCATAGCTAGGTGGCACAGTGCCTGGAAAATAGCAGGTACTTCATTGATTGGGGGGTGTGGGTATGGGTTGTATATACACATCATCCCCCTGATAGAAAGTAAGTTTTATAAGGGCAGGAACTAATTTTTGTCTTTGTACCCCCAGAACTGGGTAGCTGGGTGGCACAGTGGAAGGAGCACTGGGGCTGTGGTCAAATCTAGCCTCAGATATTTATTAACTATGTGACCCTGGGCAAGTCATTTAACCCTGTTTGCCTCAGTTTCCTCATTTCTCAAATGAACTGGAGAAGGAAATAGCAGAACACTCTAGTATCTGCCAAGAAAACCCCAGACAAGGTTACAAAATGTTGAGCACAACTGAATAAAAATATCAGCTATTATTATTACTCCCCACCGTTCATTCCCTTAGCCTGTAAGTAAATCAGTGGGAGGATTTTCCTACAGGTCAGAGAACCGAGCAGATCTTCTCATTAATTTTTACCTTCATTGGAAAACTTAGAAAGAATTGGAGTAGTTGGCTACCTACATGACGGTATTTTAGGTGCCTTGGGCTCTTCTGCCCCCTGAAATTACCTCCCTCACCCACTAAATGGGGTTGTTAGTGCTTTCCTCCCCCTCTCCCCTCATTATATTTTGTGTTTATGTAATTGTATAAATATTGTATCCCACACACAATAAAAATGTAAACTGGAGGGCTCAGATTCTTTCCCCTTTTTTGTCTTTAGATCCCTGGTGTTTACATAGTAACCTAGCACATAGTAGGTATTTAATAAATGTTTGTTGAATAATGCCTGAAATCCCTTCCCATGTATACTCTCTTCCTTCCTTGCCCTCTGTGTCTCTGCTCTCTGGGTCTTCCTCTTCTCAGTCTCTTTTGTTGAGTCATCATCCTGTACCTGCCCACTAAGTGGGGACATGCCCTAAGAGTCCATCTTGAGCATTTTCTCTGTAGTCTGCGATCTCATCAACTCCTGTGGGATCAATTGGTGTTGAGCAGATAACTCCCAAATCTCTATATGTCGCATTTTTGTCCTTACTCCAGTCCCATATTGCTAACTGCATGTCCATTGCCTCCACCTG